AGATTTAGGGTCGAAGTGTAGCACACGCGTACGGTACTCTCCGCGGGGATGTGCTAACAAATCTTGCGGGTTCATCAGCACCATGAGACTGATCGCCGTCGAGCGAACAACAGCGACTCTGCGGTACATGGAAGTTTGGATTAGCAAGATAGCTGGTGTCATCGACACACGTTGCGGATACATGTCAGGAAACTCACTCTGATATCATGGGTATTAAAACCATCTGGTAGTCCAACAGCGACCGATGTTCGCTGCCACAACTGGGGACACGCGGGACAGCAGACCTCAAACGCCGATGCTCGGTAGGAGCCAGAATCTTTATGTCTTTGCGAACGCGAGGATCCCCAATCTTGTCCTTGGCAACCTCCCTGCATCCAAGCCGACATGTCGCAGAGGTAAGAAGATAGCAGTTGCCTGTCTAAAAAACAAGGGTTCAACGTGTCGATGAAGTCAGCGTGCGTTACAAACCGCGCTTGGATACATACACTAGGCCAAAAAGTAACAACGCCTCGTTCCACTCTTCCTGACGAGCGATTAACCTTTCATAAGACTCCCGCCCTAGTCGTACCGACAATCCGCAGCCGTCTGTGATTAGCTGGGACGACATCGCGTAAGTATGCCAGAAGATGGCAGGTAGCTAAACGGTTACTAACAAACACTCTCTACCTGCAGGATAAGAGGCCGACACTAGAATGAGAGGGAAGCTTGTGAGACTAGTTGTGGAACCTCGACTCAGATTGGAATGGCGAGAATGACGTCGAGCTTTGGTGCACCCACCCTGATCCCAACTTCTACTTCGCTGGTAGAATTGGTTGTGCTCTGTCCTCAAACGCCAGGCGTAGTAAGAATTTTCTGCCCCATGGCTCAAAATATTAGGCTTCTCACCATTTCCCTTCGACCATTTGCGAACTACTCTTTGCCATGTTAGCATATTGCATGTTCTGCGGTGCCATTGCATGGTCTCAGCTTTGCCTCGACCTCGTACGAAATGGTGACGGGCAGCCCCTAAAAAAAACGAATGGTGTCCTGTGACAGGTTAATGACAGGCTGCCACGTATAGCTATCCCATCCGCATGGTTCCCTCCGCAACCTGGAAATAGAGCTGTCTCTGCGACCTGTCACACGTGTCAGAAATCGAATGACACCCTACATCCGAGAGTACCGCTATAGGGGTACTTGTGTAGCACGTATAGTACTAGTTTTTGTAACCCATAATTCAAACACAAGCATGAACTTTGCATGATTAGCACACCCAATACTATAACGGGTAATCCTATAAGTGTGAGATGAGTGCCCTATCATTAGCACCCGTATAACAGTGGCATTGGAGTACAAAACAAATGTTGTACATTTCACCAAAGTGCTCTGCTCCCGCCTGCAGAGGAGAGAGTGAAAAACATACTACACGTCTACGAAAAAAGATGAATTTCAGGTGGGGGTCTGGAATATGTGTGGTGAGAGTCCCCTATAAAAATCAGCTCATTTGCTCAAAGAGAAGTGGGTGATTACTATTGAAACCTGATTCCAGGCAATTCTGCACAGAATTCTGCAGACTGCTGCACAGCAAGGCTTAAAACACATATCAAACCTTGGGCAAATGAGGTGAATTTCATTTGGGGGTCTGGAATATGTGTGGTGAGAGTCCCCTATAAAAATCAGCTCATTTGCTCAAAGAGAGATTACTATTGAAACCTTATTCCAGGCAATTCTGCACAGAATTCTGCAGACTGCTGCACAGCAAGGCTTAAAACGCATATCAAACCTTGGGCAAATGAGATGAATTTCATGTGGGGGTCTGGAATATGTGTGGTAAGAGTCCCCTATAAAAATCAGCTTATTTGCTCAAGGAGAAGTGGGTGATTACAATTGAAACCTGATTCCAGGCAACCCTGCACAGAATTCTGCAGACTGCTGCACAGCAAGGCTTAAAACACATATCAAACCTTGGGAAAATGAATTGAATCTCATGTGGGGGTCTGGAATATGTGTGGTGAGAGTCCCCTATAAAAATCAGCTCATCTGCTCAAGGAGAAGTGGGTGATTTCAATTGAAACCTAAGTCCAGGCAATTCTGCACAGAATTCTGCAGACTGCTGCACAGCAAGGCTTAAAACACATATCAAACCTTGGGCAAATGAGGTGAATTTCATGTGGGGGTCTGGAATATGTGTGGTGAGAGTCTCCTATAAAAATCAGCTCATTTGCTCAAGGCGAAGTGGGTGATTACAATTGAAACCTGATTCCAGGCAATTCTGCACAGAATTCTGCAGACTGCTGCACAGCAAGGCTTAAAACACATATCAAACCTTGGGAAAATGAGGTGAATTTCATGTGGGGGTCTGGAATATGTGTGGTGAGAGTCCCCTATAAAAATCAGCTCATTTTCTCAAGGCGAAGTGGGTGATTACAATTGAAACCTGATTCCAGGCAATTCTGCACAGAATTCTGCAGACTGCTGCACAGCAAGGCTTAAAACACATATCAAACCTTGGGCAAATGAGGTGAATTTCATGTGGGGGTCTGGAATATGTGTGGTGAGAGTCCCCTATAAAAATCAGCTCATTTGCTCAAAGAGAAGTGGGTGATTACTATTGAAACCTTATTCCAGGCAATTCTGCACAGAATTCTGCAGACTGCTGCACAGCAAGGCTTAAAACGCATATCAAACCTTGGGAAAATGAGGTGAATTTCATGTGGGGGTCTGGAATATGTGTGGTGAGAGTCCCCTATAAAAATCAGCTCATTTGCTCAAAGAGAAGTGGGTGATTACTATTGAAACCTTATTCCAGGCAATTCTGCACAGAATTCTGCAGACTGCTGCACAGCAAGGCTTAAAACACATATCAAACCTTGGGCAAATGAGGTGAATTTCATGTGGGGGTCTGGAATATGTGTGGTGAGATTCCCCTATAAAAATCAGCTCATTTGCTCAAAGAGAAGTGGGTGATTACTATTGAAACCTTATCCCAGGCAATTCTGCACAGAATTCTGCAGACTGCTGCACAGCAAGGCTTAAAACACATATCAAACCTTGGGCAAATGAGATGAATTTCATGTGGGGGTCTGGAATATGTGTGGTGAGAGTCCCCTATAAAAATCAGCTCACTTGCTCAAGGAGAAGTGGGTGATTACTATTGAAACCTGATTCCAGGCAATTCTGCACAGAATTCTGCAGACTGCTGCACAGCAAGGCTTAAAACACATATCAAACCTTGGGCAAATGAGGTGAATTTCATGTGGGGGTCTGGAATATGTGTGGTGAGATTCCCCTATAAAAATCAGCTTATTTGCTCAAGGAGAAGTGGGTGATTACAATTGAAACCTGATTCCAGGCAACCCTGCACAGAATTCTGCAGACTGCTGCACAGCAAGGCTTAAAACACATATCAAACCTTGGGCAAATGAAGTGAATCTCATGTGGGGGTCTGGAATATGTGTGGTGAGAGTCCCCTATAAAAATCAGCTCATCTGCTCAAGGAGAAGTGGGTGATTTCAATTGAAACCTAAGTCCAGGCAATTCTGCACAGAATTCTGCAGACTGCTGCACAGCAAGGCTTAAAACACATATCAAACCTTGGGCAAATGAGGTGAATTTCATGTGGGGGTCTGGAATATGTGTGGTGAGAGTCTCCTATAAAAATCAGCTCATTTGCTCAAGGAGAAGTGGGTGATTTCAATTGAAACCTAAGTCCAGGCATTTCTGTACACTAACTTCATTGCAAGATAAAGTCCACCAAATCAGTTTGCATATAGCTGAAAATGTTCAGGGGGGCTGGAACAGGTGTCATAACACTAACAATGCAAAAAAAATGGTCACCACATAACACATGTGTGTGATGCACAGAGAATGACTTTACATGTGCTATGAGCAATCTTAGTTGAGAGAAAAGTGACAAAATGGAACAAATTTGACAAAATAACAAACTCATGCCCGCTTGTAGAGGACATCAAGGAGATGCTGGAAATCCATATTTGTGTGCAAATGACCAACAAATGATGGAGTTATGAGCCAAACCATATAGAATTTTGACTTAGCCATTTTGACATTCTGCTTGTCAGAATTACACCAAAGTGTCAACAACAAAGTTTATATACAAATACTGTACAACAGTGGTTGCGACGTCGCTTTCGTGCGACCGTCGATAATCCAAACCGGTAGTGTAACCACTCTTGCGCCCATTTCGTTGCGCCATCAGGTGGTTTGGATTTTGTAAGATCCAACACCCTTTTGCGCCGAATCCGAGTCAAATCCGAGTAAAATCGTCTCGCCACGGGCAAAATGGAGTTTCGCCAAAAAAAAATGAATCCCGGTCGAAGCAGAGGATCCGAGTGCTGCTTCCGCCTTTGGCCCGCCCTTCCCCCGTCAGGTGGTTTGGATTTCTAGGGTGTTCCTCTGTTGGCGGGAAATATCAACGGCATACAGCTTTGGCTACGAAAATACTTGTAGAATCAATTTGTCACATATTGCACATGGATGGTTTATACTGAACAGCGAAATCGGTCTTGATGGATAGAAGCTTTTGTTTATATGTGGTGAAGTGGCGCTGACTTGCGATTCGTGGAAAAAGGTTCTCCAGGGTGCTTGGCTTGACGCACCGCCGCTGTGTACAGTACCACCCGAATCAAGCGAACAATGTGACGAAGCTCGCATCATCAACTGTACACATGTTGCGATCAGACGACGACGATGTTACACAAATGAGCCAGCCATTTCAGGAGGACCATTAGTGAATGACAATCTCGAAGGAGCAGACAAACACAGCCAACGTGACTGACATCTTTTAGAACGCATTCCAGGTCTTACTTTCCAAAGCAATTGTAGTATCATCAGTAAGGCCAATCAGTCAGCGGTCGATGCTATTTCTTCTTATTTATGAACGATTTTACACACGAGTGACTTGCCTTCATGACTTGCATGAGTGCCGCTTCTTCCATCTCGTAACATTCTCCCACTGCATGGTCAACAACTAATATTCTTTGAGCTAGCCAACATCCGTAATAATGGCTTCCGCTTCAACAGAAGCATCATTATCCTCGTTATCAGCAGCACCGCTACCCGCGGAACCAGCCGTAACTCGAAAGTCATTCTCGAAAGAAGAAATCCCCGCGGTGGTTACCACATATGCGCCTAACAACCCGCGCACGCTCGCCGTCGCGACCGCGCCGTCCCCCGCGCGAACCTTCGATTCAGATCTCCCGGCGAACCTTCGCGAAGGAGCAGCGGTAACCCGGAAAAGCTTTCCGAACGGCGATAAATACGTGGGCGAATGGGCGGGAGGAGCACCGCACGGCACCGGAAGATACTCCTGGGTGGATGGGAGCGTGTACGAGGGGGAGTGGGACAGAGGACGGAAGCACGGCCAAGGGTGGTTCGAACTAACTGACGGCACGCGTTACGAAGGGGAATGGAAGGACGGCGCTCTACAGGGCGTGGGTAGCCATTGGGCTCCTGACGGAGCATTCTATACCGGGAACTGGGCCGCTGGGGTGAAGCACGGACTCGGTAGGAAGCATTACACTAATGGAGATGTTTATGAGGGGTTCTGGAGCCGGGGGGTGCCGGACGGTCCTGGTCGGTACAAATGGAGCAACGGGAACGAGTATTTCGGGGAGTGGGAAGGCGGGAAGATGAGCGGGTATGGAACGCTGACGTGGGCGAATGGGGATAGTTACGAGGGGGAGTGGGAGGCGGGGCTCGAACACGGCGCGGGGACGTTCAAGTGGGCCGACGGAAGCTGCTTCGAAGGCACGTGGAGCAGGGGATTGAAGGACGGCAAAGGGTTGTACTTCCCGAGAGGGTATGAGGAGGGAGAGGAAGAGGAGGAGTGGGTGGAGGAGGAGGGAGGTGGGGGAGGGGGTGAGGAGAAGGGGGAAGCAGGGAGCGGGACGGGGGTTGGGGGGGAGGTGGAGGGTACTGCTTCGGAGAAAGAGGCGGCCGCTGCTGCTGGCAGTGGTGATGCGGGTGCTGCGGGCGCCCTAGGGGCTTCAGGGGTTTCCGCCGCTGCTGCTGGCGGTGGTGGTGTTGGCGCAGGAGGCGGAAAGAGAGGGGGTCGCCCGCTGGGCCGCGGACTGACGATGGCACGTGGGCTGTCGATTGGGTGGAAGCCGGCGGATCAGAAGAAAACGACGCAGCCACACCCGCAGCCGCAGTCGCATCCGCAGCAGCAGCAGCAAGAGGTGGACGGAGGAGCAGCGACGACAGGCAATGGAGGGGCGACAGGCGTAGGAGCATCAGGGGAAGGGGTAGGAGGAGTAGGAGAAGGAGGGGGAGGGCTTGTAAATTCAGCCGGGCCGAGTGACAAGGCAGCAGGGGAAGGACTTAGTATTGACACTACCACAGCAGCAGCAACAGCCGCAGGTAATTCTGATAAGCGCCCCAGCACCAGTAGCGCTATCCACACTCCCAGAGGGGGTAACAAGGCAATTCGCCCCAGCAGCAGCGCGGGCGTACTCAGTATTACCCCTTCAGGCACTGGGCCGAAAAACTTCAGCCGGAGCGTGTCTGTGATTGGTGGAGGGCGGGCGGGGGTGCTGCGGGACTGGAAAAGAAAGGAGGCGCTGGAACGGCAGTGGGCTGAGTGTGAGTTAAAATTAGGTAAGTCGGAGTCTGTTCCCGCACCCGGGCCGCTGTCTAGGGGCGCTAGGGGCATGGTAGGGGGTAGGCTGTGGGAAAGCTGTCAGGAGCGGGGGGGGAGTGTAGGGTCCGGTTGGGAGGAGACGGTGGGGAGGATTGCGGAGGAGGCTGCTGATGTGGCGGGAACGGGAGCGGGGGAGGGTGGGGAGGAGGAGGTGGGGAAGGGAGGGGCGGAAGGGGAGGCTGGGTCTGCGGGTGTGAGTGTAGCGGGTGTGACTGAAGGGGGGTTGGCGGTAGAGAATGTGGTTGTAGGCAGTGAGAGTGGCGATGCTGTGACTGATAGCAGTGGGACTGCTGCTGCTGCTGCTGCTGCTGGTGCTGCTGTGGGCGAAACAGTAGAGGCAGTTTTAGAAGCAGAGCAGAAGACGGAGGGACAGGTAGCAGGCAAAGAGAAGGCAGCGAAGCAGGGAGAGGACGAGGCGACTGCTGCTCCTCCCAAGCTATGGAGAATGTGGAGCAAGGAGAAGGAGAAAGACAGGGATACCCCTCAGCAGCAGCCGTCGCCACAGCAGCAGCAGGGAGAGAAAGGAAAGAAGGGGCGCCGCTGGTCTCTTCGCTCCACCAAATCATCTGCAGCAGCAAAGCCCTCAACCCCATCCCTCGACCTCCCCCACGCGGCCTCTGAGGGAAGCCTAGTCAGCATCGGCGCCGGCGCCAGCAACAGCGGCACCACCCGTAGAAGCAGCGTTGACAGTGCTGGCATTGGTGGTGCTCCATCCTCCACCACCACCACCACCACCCCCACCACCACCACCACTGCTGCTGGTGGTCGTCAGAACAAGCCCTCTTCAAAAGCAGCCGCGGCAAAGCTGACTCGCGTGTTCACCATGGGCCCTGTTCCTGCTAGGGAGAACAGCGGCCGGGTTGACAGTGCGGTTCAGAACGGTGGCGGGTTAGCGGGATGGGTGCGTGGGTCATCTGTGGGTTCGGCGAACGGGGAGGAGGTGGATGAGGGGCGGGCGAGTGCGGAAGGGGATGGAGGTGGGAGTGCTGCCGGGGGAGAGGCGACTGACAGGCACACAAGCTCCTCTCATGGTGAGTCAGTCTCTTCCCTCCGTCCGTGCCCTCCACCCCCTTCCCTGTACAAGGAAGTGCAGGCAGGCAGAGGCTGCACAAGCGGCATTTCCAGCACTACCAGCAAGAGCAGCCCTCTCCTTTCCCACCTGCTCCCCATCCTGCCAGCCCAGGGGAGTGAGGCCGGCACTGGTTCTTCTCTGGACTCGCTGCTCCAAACACCATGCTCTTATCAGGCCGCAGGCAGAGGCAGCACAGATAGTTTAATTCAGGCAGAAGCTCTATTAGCCCTACCAGCTAAAGCATCCGTTTCCCGTTCTCTTGTCACTCTTTTTCTCCTCCCTTCTCCCTGTTCTTCCAGCCCAGGAGATCCAGTCCAGGCGGGTGCTGATTCAGCTCTCGACCCGTGCTGCATCTGCCGGCGCCGTGTTCTCATCAGGCCGCCGGCAGATGCAGCACTTTGAGACGTCTCAAAACACTCCTTTTTTGAGACGTCTCAAAACACTCCTTTTTTGAGACGTCTCAAAACACTCCTTTTTTGAGACGTCTCAAAACACTCCTTTTTTCACCCGGCGCCGTGTTCTCATCAGGCCGCCGGCAGATGCAGCACAGGGGGGGACTTCCTTCCCTGCACTGCCAGCACAAGTAACCCCTTCCCGTTCCCTCCTCCCACCCGTTCCCCAACCTGTAGCCCAAGAGAGTGAAGCGGGTGCTGATTCAGCTCTCGACTCGCTGCGTTCAAGTGCCATGTTCTCATCAGGCCGCAAACAGAGGCAGAATAGGCAGTACAGCAAGGTGGTGACAGTGCGGGAGTACGTGCAGGGGGTTCTGGTGGCGGAGATCCCAAGGTCCAAGCTGCAGCACGACCTCGTGGTGAGTAGTGCTTATAAGGCGTATGAAGTGCTTGTAAAAGGTATACAGTGCTTACAAACTGCTGCTGCTGGTAGCCTGTAGCAAGGTGGTGACAGTGAGGGAGTACATGCAGGGGGTGCTGGTGGCGGAGATCCCAAGGTCCAAGCTGCAGCACGATCTCGTGGTGAGCAGTGCTTGTCTGTTTTTGCGCTTATAGAGGTGCAGCAGGTTGGTCGTGCACGAGCGTAAGCACAAGAACAAGCACAAGAACAAGCACAAGAACAAGCATACGCACAAGCACAAGAACAAGCATACGCACAAGCACAAGAACAAGCATACGCACAAGCACAAGAACAAGCATACGCACAAGCACAAGAACAAGCATACACACAAGCACAAGAACAAGCATACGCACAAGCACAAGAACAAGCATACGCACAAGCACAAGAACAAGCATACGCACAAGCACAAGAACAAGCATACGCACAAGCACAAGAACAAGCATACGCACAAGCACAAGAACAAGCATACGCACAAGCACAAGAACAAGCATACGCACAAGCACAAGAACAAGCATACGCACAAGCACAAGAAAAGAACGCACAAGCACAAGAACAAGCATACGCACAAGCACAAGAACAAGCATACGCACAAGCACAAGAACAAGCATACGCACAAGCACAAGAACAAGCATACGCACAAGCACAAGAACAAGCATACGCACAAGCACAAGAACAAGCATACGCACAAGCACAAGAACAAGCATACGCACAAGCACAAGAACAAGCATACGCACAAGCACAAGAACAAGCATACGCACAAGCACAAGAACAAGCATACGCACAAGCACAAGAACAAGCATACGCACAAGCACAAGAACCAAGCATACGCACAAGCACAAGAACAAGCATACGCACAAGCACAAGAACAAGCATACGCACAAGCACAAGAACAAGCATACGCACAAGCACAAGAACAAGCATACGCACAAGCACAAGAACAAGCATACGCACAAGCACAAGAACCAAGCATACGCACAAGCACAAGAACCAGCATACGCACAAGCACAAGAACAAGCATACGCACAAGCACAAGAACAAGCATACGCACAAGCACAAGAACAAGCATACGCACAAGCACAAGAACAAGCATACGCACAAGCACAAGAACAAGCATACGCACAAGCACAAGAACCAGCATACGCACAAGCACAAGAACAAGCATACGCACAAGCACAAGAACAAGCATACGCACAAGCACAAGAACAAGCATACGCACAAGCACAAGAACCACTGGGGCTTTAAAATATTCTAAAGAATGACAAGCGTAAGCACAACCACTGGCAGGGATGGCAAAAAAACGCACCCTTTCTTCTCGTTCCTCCCCTACCCCTTCCCTTCTCTCCCTCACCCCATCCCGTCCACCTGTTCTTACCACTGGCAGAGGCGGCGTGGCCCCACGCGCAGGGCGGGGAGAAAGGCGGGCGAGCTGATATACAAGGGCCACCGCAGCTACGACCTCATGACGGCCATACAGCTGGGGCTCAGGTGGGTGGGGGTGGGTGGGGCCTCCTTGTGCCGTGTGTCCTCACCCCCTCACTTTTCAACTGCCCTCACGGCCGCTGCTGCTCGCTGTCCTCACTGTGAGCAACTGAGAGCTGATATGCAAGGGCCACCGCAGCTACGACCTCATAACGGCCATACAGCTGGGGCTCAGGTGATTTAGGCCTCCTTGTGTGCCCAGACTCTGGTGGGGCTCAGGTGGGGCTCAGGTGGGTCTCAGGTGGGGCTCAGGTGGGGCTCAGGTGGGGCTCAGGTGGGTCTCAGGTGGGTCTCAGGTGGGGCTCCTTGTGTTGTGTGTCATCTCTCACTGCTCATCGTGTGTTCACCCCTGTAATGCGCTAATTATCCCCCTTTATGTACATGTGATGTGATGTGACACATCCCCTCCCTCACATTCGCCCACATTGCTCAAAGCGACCCCTAAATTCCTCTGATGAACCCTTCCGCATCCCTCCTCCCCACCCACCCACCCCACCTCCCCGTCCCACATCCCCATCCCAACTCCCCATCCCACCCACCAGACACTCCACAAGGCAGCCAGCACCTCTCCCAGTTGCCCCTTCCGCACCTACCCCTTCCCCAGCAGCCCCTTCCTCAGAAGCACCTCCCCCACCTCCCACCTCCCCCACCCACCCCTCCCCATCCCACCCACCAGACACTCCACACGGCGCGCAACACCTTCCCAAGTTGCCCCTCCCTCAGAAGCACCTCTTTCACCTCACACTTCCCACCTTCCCCCTCCCCACCCCACATCCCCATCCCGCTGCCCCATCCCACCCACCAGGCACTCCACAGGGCGAGCAACACCTCCCCCAGTTGCCCCTTCTGCAGCTGCCCCTCCCTCAGAACTACCTCCCCCATCAGCGCCCATCCCAGCAGCATCCACCCTCACCACACTTCCCGCAGCTGCACCTTCCCCAGCTGCGCCCTCTGCACCAGCCGCACCTGCCCCAGCTGCGCCTGTCTCAACTGATCTGCGTGCAGAGGACTTTGAGGCGGCAGACAGAATGTGGTTCCCCCCGGAAGGCTCCTCGTGCACGCCGCCCCACAACACGCTCCCCTTCACCTGGCGCGACTACGCTCCCAGGGCCTTCAGGTGAGGCTTGGCACATCGCCTATGGTGTGCGTCGCTGCTGCCACGCCACACACTGTCTCAGGAGATTTCGGCACTTCGAGGCACGTGTGATTTATCTCAACTCAACACACTCGGGGACTGGCGACTATGGGGTCTGGTCTGAGACCTTGGCGTGTTTTTTGAGAATTCTCAGATCCGAACGTACAACTCAGATCAAACTCTAGACTATGGGGTCTGGTCTGAGACCTTGGCGTGTTTTTTGAGAATTCTCAGATCCGAACGTACAACTCAGATCAAACTCTAGACTAGACTATGGGGTCTGGTCTGAGACCTTGGCGTGTTTTTTGAGAATTCTCAGATCCGAACGTACAACTCAGATCAAACTCTAGACTAGACTATGGGGTCTGGTCTGAGACCTTGGCGTGTTTTTTGAGAATTCTCAGATCCGAACGTACAACTCAGATCAAACTCTAGACTAGACTATGGGGTCTGGTCTGAGACCTTGGCGTGTTTTTTGAGAATTCTCAGATCCGAACGTACAACTCAGATCAAACTCTAGACTAGACTATGGGGTCTGGTCTGAGACCTTGGCGTGTTTTTTGAGAATTCTCAGATCCGAACGTACAACTCAGATCAAACTCTAGACTAGACTATGGGGTCTGGTCTGAGACCTTGGCGTGTTTTTTGAGAATTCTCAGATCCGAACGTACAACTCAGATCAAACTCTAGACTAGACTATGGGGTCTGGTCTGAGACCTTGGCGTGGGATCTGGCACACCAATGTCTCAATCCACACCCCCCCCCCCCCCCCCCCCCCCCCTCCCCCCCCCCCCTTCTCTCATCCAGTGAGCTGCGCGCCATGTTTGGCATCGATCCAGCTGACTACACGCTGTCTCTCTCCCTATCTCTGCATCAACTCTCCCCACCCCCTCCACCCCTTTTTACTCCCCTGCATCCTCTTCAGTGAGCTGCGCGCCATGTTTGGCATCGATCCAGCTGACTACACGCTGTCTCTGCGGCGAGGCGGCAACGCCCTGAAGGAGCTGGCGTCCCTCCCCGGGCAAGCTGACTCACAGCATTCTCTGTGCCCCCCTCCCGCTCATCCATGTGCTCCCTGTGTCCCCCCTTCCAGTGAGCTGCGCGCCATGTTTGGCATCGATCCAGCTGACTACACGCTGTCTCTGCGGCGAGGCGGCAACGCCCTGAAGGAGCTGGCGTCCCTCCCCGGGCAAGCTGACTCACAGCATTCTCTGTGCCCCCCTCCCGCTCATCCATGTGCTCCCTGTGTCCCCCCTTCCAGTGAGCTGCGCGCCATGTTTGGCATCGATCCAGCTGACTACACGCTCTCTCTGTGTGGAGATAACGCTCTCAGGGAGCTGTCCTCCCCGGGCAAGCTGACCCATAGCATCTTGTGTGCGTGTGCTGCCTTATTGGGTTCCTGTGTTCCTTCCTGTCCCCTCTTCCAGTGAGCTGCGCGCCATGTTTGGCATCGATCCAGCTGACTACACGCTCTCTCTCTCTCTCTCTCTCTCTCTCTCTCTCTCTCTCTCTCTCTCTCTCTCTCTCTCTCTCTCTCTCTCTCTCTCTCTCTCCCTCTACCTCTCTCTGTGCCAACATCCGTCACCCACCCGCCCCTTCTTTTACTCCCCTCCCCTGCATTCCCCCTCCAGTGAGCTGCGCGCCATGTTTGGCATCGATCCAGCCGACTACACGCTGTCTCTGTGCGGCGACAACGCTCTGAGAGAGCTCTCCTCGCCCGGCAAGTCGGGCAGTGTGTTCTATCTGTCAGACGATGATCGGTTTATCATCAAAACCATGCGCGCCTCTGAAGTGCAGGTGAGTAGGGGGGGGGGCGTTAGGGGCATAGGAGGGAGCAGGAGAGGGAGGAAGAGCACGAGGGCAGGTCCGGTAGTGTGTTCCTATCAGTTGGATGATGATCGGTGTATCATACAATCATGCGCGCCTCTGAAGTGCGGGTGAGTGAGTGGGTGGAGTAAGGGGGAGAGGGGAAGGAGGCGACCGGTTTACCTCATCCCTCGTCCCACCATTTCCCCCGTTTCCTCATGTCTTGTGTCTTTTTGTGGGGCAGGTGTTGCAACGGATGTTACAAAACTACTTTCGGCACGTGCGGGACTGCGAGCACATACACACACCCCCTACCCCTTTCTTCCCTTCTCCCTTGTGCTGTTCATTCATTTCTTTGGAAGCAGGTGTTACAGCAGATGTTACCGGACTATTTCCGGCACGTGCGCGACTGCAAGTACACACACGCGCTCACTCACTCCTGACCTCTTGCCTCCCTGCCCCTGTGTGTTTCGTTTTTTTCTTCTGGAGCAGGTGTTGCAGCGGATGTTACCAGACTATTTCCGGCACGTGCGCGACTGCGAGCACACGCTCATCACCAAGTTCTTCGGGCTACACTCCATCCGCGTTTACAACACAAAGCAACCTTCCAACCTGCCCCGTTCCTCTTCTACAAGTACTAAATTATCCCCCTCCTCCTCTGTTGCTTCCACAACCACCACCAGCACCACCAACACCACCAACACCACCAGCACTACCACCAACACCACCACCACCACCACTGCTGCTGCTCCAGTTTTTTCCCCAAGTGATATCCCCTCGTCTCCCGAGGTGACTGTGCGGTGCTCGCGCAGCCTCTTCCCCCCATCACCCTTCGCCAGTGGCACTCAAAACGCCACCACCAACACCCCAGGCGCCAGCACCACCATCAATCCCTCCACCACCACTACCGCCAGCACCAGCAGCAGCACTGCCAGTGCCACCCACCCCTCCATCCCCACCCATCAACAACAGCACCAACACCAGCACCAGCAGCAACAGCAGCAGCACCTACACCAGCAGCAACATCAGCAACCGCAGAGGTATCGGCGGCGGCGGCGGCTGCACACGGTGCTCTCCTCCCCCTCCACGCTCATCCGCTTTGTGGTGATGGCCAACGTCTTTGTCACCGACCTCAGGATGCACAGGCGGTTCGATTTAAAAGGCTCGTCGCAGGGGCGCAGCACAGAGAAAGTTGCAGTTGACGAGACGACTACACTCAAGGATTTGGATCTTGATTTGTCCTTTCACATGCCCGCCTCCTGGCGAGCGCTCATGCACAGGTAAGGGTATGTCCGTCTGTGGTACGAGGGGAAGAGTGTGAGGGTGCGGCTGCACACGGTGCTCTCCTCCCCCTCCATGCTCATCCGCTTTGTGGTGATGGCCAATGTGTCTGCCACCGACCTGCGCATGCACCGGTGCTCCGACCTCGAAGGGTCGTCACAGGGGCGCAGCGCAGAGAAAGTTGCGGTTGATGACAGGACTACTACTCTCAAGGACCTGGATCTCGACCTCTCCTTCCATATGCCCGCCTCGTGGAGAGCGTTAAAGCACAGGTGAGTGTGTAACAAGTGCGTCTGCACACAGTCCTTTTTCCCCCCTCCACGCTGATCCGCCTCGTGGAGAGCCTTAATGCACAGGTGGGTATTGTGGGCTCAGGTGAGCCTTCAAGCAGAGGTGAGTGTGAGAGTGCAGCTCCGAGAACACAGGGGCGCAGCATGGAGAAGGTGGCTGTGGATGAGACCACCACTCTCAAAGACCTGGATCTCGACATCCCTTTCACATGCCAGCATCATTGAGAGCCCTCATTCACAGGTGGGTGTGTGAGAGTGCAGCAGAAGACTGCAGCAGAAGAGTGCAGCAGAAGAGTGCAGCAGAAGAGTGCAGCAGAAGAGTGCAGCAGAAGAGTGCAGCAGAAGAGTGCAGCAGAAGAGTGCAGCAGAAGAGTGCGGCAGAAGAGTGCGGCAGAAGAGTGCAGCAGAAGAGTGCAGCAGAAGAGTGCAGCAGAAGAGTGCGGCAGAAGAGTGCAGCAGAAGAGTGAGGCAGAAGAGTGCAGCAGAAGAGTGCGGCAGAAGAGTGCAGCAGAACAGTGCAGCAGAAGAGTGCGGCAGAAGAGTGCGGCAGAAGAGTGCGGCAGAAGAGTGCGGCAGAAGAGTGCGGCAGAAGAGTGCGGCAGAAGAGTGCAGCAGAAGAGTGCGGCAGAAGAGTGCGGCAGAAGAGTGCAGCAGAAGAGTGCAGCAGAAGAGTGCAGCAGAAGAGTGCGGCAGAAGAGTGCAGCAGAAGAGTGAGGCAGAAGAGTGCAGCAGAAGAGTGCGGCAGAAGAGTGCAGCAGAACAGTGCAGCAGAAGAGTGCGGCAGAAGAGTGCGGCAGAAGAGTGCGGCAGAAGAGTGCAGCAGAAGAGTGAGGCAGAAGAGTGCAGCAGAAGAGTGCGGCAGAAGAGTGCAGCAGAACAGTGCAGCAGAAGAGTGCGGCAGAAGAGTGCAGCAGAAGAGTGCAGCAGAAGAGTGCGGCAGAAGAGTGCAGCAGAAGAGTGCAGCAGAAGAGTGCGGCAGAAGAGTGCAGCAGAAGAGTGCAGCAGAAGAGTGCGGCAGAAGAGTGCAGCAGAAGAGTGCAGCAGAAGAGTGCGGCAGAAGAGTGCAGCAGAAGAGTGCGGCAGAAGAGTGCAGCAGAAGAGTGCAGCAGAAGAGTGCGGCAGAAGAGTGCAGCAGAAGAGTGCGGCAGAAGAGTGCAGCAGAAGAGTGCAGCAGAAGAGTGCGGCAGAAGAGTGCAGCAGAAGAGTGCAGCAGAAGAGTGCGGCAGAAGAGTGCAGCAGAAGAGTGCAGCAGAAGAGTGCAGCAGAAGAGTGCAGCAGAAGAGTGCAGCAGAAGAGTGCGGCAGAAGAGTGCAGCAGAAGAGTGCGGCAGAAGAGTGCAGCAGAAGAGTGCAGCAGAAGAGTGCGGCAGAAGAGTGCAGCAGAAGAGTGCAGCAGAAGAGTGCGGCAGAAGAGTGCAGCAGAAGAGTGCAGCAGAAGAGTGCAGCAGAAGAGTGCAGCAGAAGAGTGCAGCAATACATCCCGATGAGTGAGGACACATTCGAGAAGAGTGCAGCAATACATCATGGACTACAGCCTGCTGCTTGCTGGGGGTGCATGTGTGATGTGCTTCTGAGTCCCCTTTTGAGGCGCCTCAAAATGTGCTTCTGAGTCCCCTCAATTCCGCGAGGATATGCGAACGCGTTTCGGCCGTGTGCTTCTGAGTCCCCTCAATTCCTCTCTCCAGGTGACTTTTGAGTCGACTCAAAAGTCACCTGCTTGCTGGGGGTGCATGTGTGATGTGCTTCTGAGTCCCCTCAATTCCTCTCTCCCTTTTTTTTCCTCCTACCCTCCCTTCCTCGCTCACCCCCCACCAGGCAAATCGCCTTGGACACGGCATTCCTGCAGCGCCAGCGCATCATGGATTACAGCCTGCTGCTGGGGGTGCATTTCCGCCCCACCAATACTGCGCTACCACCTGTCACCATCGCCGAGGGCCGCGCGACCCAGGACGGCCAATCTCGGCCGTCCATCTCATCAGGTGCTCATCTGGGCCGTCCATCTCATTAGTCTGGATATTCCGTTTTTTCCATTCCGTTTGCTCATTTTCCTCCTCCTCCTCCTCCTCCTCCTCCTCTCCTCCTCCTCCTCCTCCTCCTCCTCCTCCTCCTCCTCCTCCTCCTCCTCCTCCTCCTCCTCCTCCTCCTCCTCCTCCTCCTCCTCCTCCTCCTCCTCCTCCTCCTCCTCCTCCTCCTCTCCTCCTCCTCCTCTCCTCCTCCTCCTCTCCTCCTCCTCCTCCTCTCCTCCTCCTCCTCCTCCTCCTCCTCCTCCTCCTCCTCCTCCTCCTCCTCCTCCTCCTCCTCCTCCTCCTCCTCCTCCTCCTCCTCCTCCTCCTCCTCCTCCTCCTCCTCCTCCTCCTCCTCCTCCTCCTCCTCCTCCTCCTCCTCCTCCTCCTCCTCCTCCTCCTCCTCCTCCTCCTCCTCCTCCTCCTCCTCCTCCTCCTCCTCCTCCTCCTCCTCCTCCTCCTCTCCTCCTCCTCCTCCTCCTCCTCCTCCTCCTCCTCCTCCTCCTCCTCCTCCTCCTCCTCCTCCTCCTCCTCCTCCTCCTCCTCTCCTCCTCCTCCTCCTCCTCCTCCTCCTCCTCCTCCTCCTCCTCCTCCTCCTCCTCCTCCTCCTCCTCCTCCTCCTCCTCCTCCTCCTCCTCCTCCTCCTCCTCCTCCTCCTCCTCCTCCTCCTCCTCCTCCTCCTCCTCCTCCTCCTCCTCCTCCTCCTCCTCCTCCTCCTCCTCCTCCTCCTCCTCCTCCTCCTCCTCCTCCTCCTCTCCTCCTCTCCTCCTCCTCCTCCTCCTCCTCCTCCTCCTCCTCCTCCTCCTCCTCCTCCTCCTCCTCCTCCTCCTACTACCCTCACACTCACCCTCAACCTCCTACTTTCACCTTGAACCTCCTACATGGTCCTTTTCTACCCTCGTCCTTTGCGTTTCATGCATCGTCCCTTCCTTCCTTCTTCCACTCCTTCCCCTTCCCACCGTCATTTCCCAATTCCCTCTCTCCGTCTAAAATTTTCTCTGCAGCTGCTGCGGCCATAGAAGCCGAGCCTGGGAACGACCAATTAGGCGGTGACACGTCAGCAGGAGAAGCCGCCCTGAGTTCCACCTCGACTTCGTTCCCCAACTCCTTCCGCCAGGTGAGTGCTCGCACCCGGGAGACTTTGAGTGGAAGTGCTGAGTGTGGGAGTGCGCATTTGCGTGTGAGGTTGCGTATGATGAGCCGATTTTTTAGTCGACTAAAAAATCGACTCATCAAGTGTGTGAGTGTGGGAGTGCGCGTTTGCGTGAGAGAGTGTGAGGTTGGGGTGTGGGGCAGTGGGGGAGAGTGAGGCCGTGCAGAGGGTGTTAGTGTCAGCCCTCAATCTCAACTTTTGTACTTGTGTACTTTATATATCCTATCTTATTGTAGTTTGCACTTTGTGTTTGATTGGGTGTACACCCACCCACATCCCAACAAAACCCAAATGTGCTCACCAATCAATCCCCAACCCACCAATTTGAGATTGCCTTGGGATTACCCCCAATCCCTAAGAATTGCCCCTGATTCCCTGCCCATCCATACCTTGCTCATTGTGGATGTACCTTCCCTCCACCTCCGCCCCTTCAGCCCCCGGCCCTACCAATCCCCTGGTCTCCCTTCACCCCCCCCCCCCCCCCCCCCCCCCCCCCCCCCCTCCCTCACCCTTCAAACACCCTCCCCTCTCCCTGCCTTCAACCACAGATGAGGCATCACATGCAGAGGCCATGGCAGAGGGTTGCCTCCACCTCTACACCATCTAGAAGATCCTTTTAGACCCCTTACAACCACTCCCAATCCCCCCCTCCCCTCACCCCCTTTCAACCACAGATGAGGCATCACATGCAGAGGCCATGGCAGAGGGTTGCGTCCACCTCTATGGCCGATGCGTCAATTGACGCCTTCACCACAACAGACAAATCCAGCCGTCCAGAAAATGCCACGGAGGGGGCACCTGAAGGGGCGAGATCAACAGCCAATGCAACAGTGGGAGGGGAAGATGGGAAAGCAGGGCAAGTGGCAAATGGCTTCTTGCTGCCCACAGCTTCACAGCAGCAGCAGCAGCAGCAGCAGCAGCAGCAGCAGCAGCAGCAGCAGCAGCAGCAGCAGCAGCAGCAGGAGGAGGAGGAGGAGGAGGAGGGAGGAGGGAAAGGGAGAGAGCGAAAGAGCTCGGGAGCGGGAGGGAGCATGGGTGAGGGAGGAGCGGTGGGGGGCACGGGGGAGGGGGGGAGTGGGGTGCTGCTGGGGCAGGGCATGCCAGCAACGGCTGTGAGGGTGGACAGGCGGACACGCAAGGCTGTGATGGACCCGGCCAAGAGGGAGACATACCATGTGGTGCTGCACTTCGGAATCATCGATATCCTTCAGGTCAGCTTTCCTTGGGTTTAGGTTTTCAAGTTAAGGAGTCGGGTGCTGCTGGGGCAGAGCATGCCGGCGACTGCAGTGAGGGTGGACAGGCGGACTCCCAAGGCTGTGGTTGACCCGGCCAAGTTTTGAGTCGACTCAAAACTCGACTGCAGTGAGGGTGGACAGGCGGACTCCCAAGGCTGTGGTTGACCCGGCCAAGTTTTGAGTCGACTCAAAACGCGACTGCAGTGAGGGTGGACAGGCGGACTCCCAAGGCTGTGGTTGACCCGGCCAAGTTTTGAGTCGACTCAAAACTCGACTGCAGTGAGGGTGGACAGGCGGACTCCCAAGGCTGTGGTTGACCCGGCCAAGTTTTGAGTCGACTCAAAACTCGACTGCAGTGAGGGTGGACAGGCGGACTCCCAAGGCTGTGGTTGACCCCGCCAAGAGAGAGACGTACCACGTGGTGCTGCACTTGGGGATAATTGAAATTCTGCTGGCCGGTGTTCGGTTTGGGGTGGTAATCTTAGGATGCACTGCGGGATCATCGACATTCTGCAGATCAGTGCTCAGAGAAGAATATCAACACGGGCGACTGCCAGTGCTCAGTGCTCAGAGCTCAGAGCTCAGAGCTCAGAGCTCAGAGCTCAGTGCTCAGAGCTCAGAGCTCAGTGCTCAGAGCTCAGTGCTCAGAGCTCAGTGCTCAGAGCTCAGTGCTCAGAGCTCAGTGCTCAGAGCTCAGAGCTCAGTGCTCAGAGCTCAGAGCTCAGTGCTCAGAGCTCAGTGCTCAGAGCTCAGTGCTCAGTGCTCAGAGCTCAGTGCTCAGAGCTCAGAGCTCAGAGCTCAGTGCTCAGTGCTCAGTGCTCAGTGCTCAGAGCTCAGTGCTCAGAGCTCAGTGCTCAGAGCTCAAGAGGTTATGGGTTGGATTTTTTTGGGATCATTGTCAGGAGCACCGCATGGGCGAGTGCGTATGTGTTCCTTGCACTGTGGCCCATCTGATTTTGCTTCCTTTCTCTCACACACAGACACACACACATGCACCCAACCACGTTCAGAAGTAAAACACGCGCACGATGTGGGGGCATGTGTGTGGTCTTCACATTCCATCCCATACAATCATTTTCTCTCGCCCTCCCACTCCCACACACATACACATGACCACTTTCAGGAGTACAACACGCGCAAGAAGGCGGAGCACGTGTGCAAGAGCCTGCGGTACGACGGCACGTCCATCAGCGCAGTCAACCCAGCTCTCTACGCGTCCCGGTTTGGAAACTTCATTTCAATCACATTCCCCTCCAATAATGGAACCTCAAATGAAGAAAACGAGTGAGGGGGGAGTGAGCTTGTTGCAGTTGGGTTCCCATGAACTAAACTGATGGAAAGTCCGGTCAGGTTGCATACTACCTTGTACAACTAGTGTTGTGGCAATCTTTATGTAGCTTATGGCTTGTCTGCGTATGATTTATCACTTTACACGGCCTTCACTAGGACCAGTATCTGTGCTGTACTACTATGCTGCAAAGGCCATGGTTGATATAACAAGGCCAATCTATATGGAGCAATGTGTTAACAAAGAACGTTGGTGCATGTAATCTCTAAATTATGTTTATTGGTACTGTTATGTGAAGGGAAGGCCTTGAGGATGCTAGTTAGAACAACGCACATAATGTAAAAAACTACAATTCATGAAAGTAAATGTGCCTATTTTTGAAGAGCATTCAGGTGCTGAATCAGCGATCCTGGTGCGATATCGCTTGACGCGTTACAACCGCACGACAGCTGACGCCGCAAAAGCTCCAACCTCAGGCTCTTGTTAGCAGCCTGCATATTCTGGATATAATCCACCGCATAATTCAGCATCGACGCCACGTCACCATGCGCGTCGACCACCATTCGTAGCCGATTCATTCCCTCGCTGATCTTCTCCCGCCTGTGCTTCTCCGTCATGCTTTTTGGCTTGATCTGCTGTCCGAACCTTCCACCGCCTTTCCCAGACTGCTGACGCGAGAGCTGCGAAGGACCCCTCCCCGCGGAACCTTCCGCGCCGGAAACGCCCGGAGTGGCAGCATTTTTAGCAGAAACCCCAGCGGAAGGGGCGGGAGACGCGGAAGCGGAACCAGATCCGCTCGAGCGTTGTGGCTCATCAGAAAGGCAGCCCATGCCGTCGCCAGACGCGCTCCGCTTGGGCGAGGTCGCCACCGCGGGTGCATCCATGGAAGCCGCCGCGTTCGCGCGGTCCAATGGCATGGAAGCGAGGCGCGACAGATTACCTCCGAACTTAGCCTCCCCGAGACGTGGGTCGGAGAAATTCGTCCTTTCCGCCGTTAGGGCTCTTCTGAGGGGCGAGCTGTCCAATGTCGAACGTGGCGCGTTGAGCGGAGCTCGCACAGGCGATCCGGGCCAAGATTGCGGAGACGTCTTCACACTCTTCGCCGCGCGCAGCGGCAGAGGTAGAGGGAGGTCGTTCGAATGTTCCCGCCGCCTCGAGTTATCTGCCGCTGCCTGAGCCGAGCGGAAGTGACTGGGAAGGGAAGGCTGGTTCGCCGCTTGCGCGCCAAATGTAGCGCCTGCGGGAGCGGTCGGCGCGGGGGCGGCGGAAGTAGGGTGTTGCTCGCCGCCAAGCGTCCCGACGGGGCTGATGCCGGCTGCATTGCCACCGCATGGCTCCTGTAGCATCGCCTGTAGCTGAGCCAGAAATATCTCGTCCTCGTGCGTCATAGGCGCGGACGGCACGGCGGTAGACGCGGCGGCGAAGTGAGTGTCCGCGTCTGAAGGCATTGTAACAGGAAGCCCTGAAGGGAGCTGAGTTTCTCCCAATACTGCAAGTAATGTGCTCTGTGCGCTGCCGAAAACGCCGGCGTGTACGCCGGATCCGCCGCCGCCGTTACCGCCGCAAGCCTCGAGGAGATGTTGGGCGAACCAGTTAGTACCGGTAGTGCCAGCGGGAAATGCTCCGCTGGCTCCGTCGGACTGAAAAGACAAGGGAGACGTCATAGTGTGCGAGTTGCGTTTGGCGCAAGTCAGAATGCCAGAAGCTCTGAAGTGCAGCTTCAGTTCTGGTGATGGTGAAAAAAGTGCGAAAAGCCAAGTTGATGACGTGCTTCTGAATCACAGCTGCTTTTATCTCGAGCCGAATGGGTAAAAAGGGTGAGTATTGATGGAAGGCACGTAGCTGGTTTGTTCGGCAAGGAAGGACGCGGGTGACTTGAGTAAATGAATCAACCCGTAGAAACAACCGCGTTATAAAGTCGGCTTTTTCGGGATGGAAGCAAGGGGTGAGGAATCGATGAAGGTTGGATGGATGGGATTTGGCTCAATGGCGGTGGATTTCGCGGGGGCAAATGTGCAAGAGGGGAGTCACGGAAAATGCGGCTACATTCGCGGGGGCAAATGTACAAGGCAGTCTTTTGCCGTGTTGACTGAGGCAGGGGATGGTGTCTCTGGCGGTTGACCGTGGGGACTGTTGGTACCCGAATCTACATCTCGGATGCCTTGTGGAGATCTTTAGAACCTCCAGCTGGACGTATCTTTGGACGTAGCTGACAGGCTGGAAAAGCTTTGTGCTATTAAATGCGGACGAATCAATGGCAAGCGATTTCAACGAGCGTTATGATAAATGCCATGTCCTCGAGCAATGTACATGTGATGCTCTCGTCATCTATCGGTGACGATGATGTCAGCGTTCAACAAGGCAAATTCGCGACGGTCGGTCACGTCCCGTCTCGTCGGGGACGGGAAGCCAGGGTGACCGCTATTCCGGGGCACAAGGTGGGTCAACTCAACAACAACACAACACACAGGATCAAACTTGGATGCTGGGGTGAGAACTGTCGGAATGAGATGGCTTCTGTTGGAGTCTGTAAAATACTGTATGCGAAGTGTTGTGAGGAAGTTCTGTACACGGTTACGATTGTTGTGCAGTAAAGGAAGGAACACATATTTAGGGCGTGATCTGTTTTTCAAAGGTACGTTGTGATATCCACCCAGTTTCAGCTAGGAAATTTCACAACGGGTCAAACAAATACACCTGAGGGTACCCACCTTCGCGAGATGACGGCAAGCAGCAACTTTGTCATTGCCAAACCGCCTTCCGCTCAGTTTGTTTCAGAAGACGGAAATGCCTTCTGGTTGTGGTGACCATTGTCTCTGGGTGTCTATAAAAATGCAGGTTCGGGGTGTGTGTAGTGTAGCAAGCAACGGATTCTAGCTGGCCCTCAACCGTCTGAGGAGCATTAAACAGACCTAGCACTTCGAGAAAGCGCCATTGGCTAAAATGCTTCGTTGTGCATGTGGTCATTTCGTCCACTCAGCGGAGGCAAGGTGCTTCGAGAAAGGGTCGAACTTGCACACTTGACTCCACTGTTGAAAACGGAGAGCTTGAGCCCTCCAATGATGAAGAACCCTTTTGAGCAGATATTCATTTTGGGGTTCCACTCACTGCTCCATGTCGGGAACTTGAGTGTGTATGCGACTTGTGTATGGGAACCCAAGCAAGCAAGCATCGAACTCGTGAATGCGGCTTATCGGAACCCAAGCTTGTGCTGGATTGCGATGAATGTATTTGACGAATTTGTAACTTAGGAGTTCAGGAATGGGAAGTTCCAAACTCCGCTCACTGGGGGAAAGCTAGCGTCCATTGCCTTCATTCCTCATGTCACACACAAACACCACGTCCTTCATGCCCTGCCAGCTTTTGCAGTGGAAATTGAGGTCCCATTTTGAACGTGTGGAAATATCGACAACTTCTTGAGGCTTGAGCAAATCAAAATGCAGGCATAATAGTACACTTGTCATTAGGGGTACTTGTAAAGTCCAGAACAGAATGCACATTCTACAGTTCACGTGGAAGCCATCCTTCACCTGTCGTGGCAGGGCTGACACATCGGTCGGCATCACGTTGCGGTGAACAGATTAGATACTGTAGTGCCCATGACATGCGGTAGAGAACAGACAGTTGCCCAGCTTCTGGCAGCTCGGCTACAGCTCACTAGGAAACCTGTTGTGAAAACAGTTGTTGAGGGTCCGTCGAGACTCGCCACTGCTTTTCTCTTATACACGCATCCGTTTTATGATTAGAAATCTGCACCTTCGTGCATGAGAGTTCACATGTTCTGGTTAAAATAATAATACATTATGACTCTGATAATATAAAAAAAATCAGAACTTTTATGGTATTTAATTTCCATACCAATTCTGTTCCACTATGCTGGCTCCCGATTTAATCAATATGTGCAAATATGTTCTGGATTATGCATGCACGAAGTTTTCTATATCATAAATCAGTACGCATATTATGATCCGCTTGTCTTGTATCGCCACATACAAAATGTGTTAATACATGAAAAAAACTGAAACGTAATTACAAGATTCAGATATTAGTTATGGCATTGGCTTGATTTGAGTAAAAAAGGTAATTCAGAATAAATTTCTTGTTTTTTATATGTCCATCCCATGACTGCATGTTTGATATGACGTTCACTGCATATGACGCTTTTATATGTCCCATGATGTTTCTATATTGTTCAAACTTCGCTATCCAAATTGTGTCCTCTGATCCAGGCCCAAAACAACGCCCAAAAGGTACTTGCAATCAAGTCCCTCATCCAGCGAGAAGCTGACATTTCTTTCCCTGCTGGCAACACCCATGCGATCTCCAAATGGCTCTGGGATAGGCTGGGCACGGCTCGGAATGAAGCGGAACGAATCTCTAGACCAGTAGTAGGTTATCCAAGTTTCTGGACAAAGTACCAGACAATACCGTTTTAAAACAGGCCGAAACCAGCTGCATCCACTGTGGCTGTTCCTGCTTCTGCTTCTGCTACGGCTCCCGCTGCTGATGCTGCTGATGTCTTTTGAAACAAGGCACGTGCAATGGAAAAAGCACATCCATTCAGTTCTCCCGTGGGACCCTACAAGGCCCAGCCCAGTCTATCTAGGCAGAGAGGGCAGCATCCATCCCAGAGGTGCATCAGCACCGTACATCGCGAAGCCTAAGGGAGGCTCTAAGCTAAGCTAAGATTACAATCCGTAGCCGTCCGTTATCCGTCGTTATCCGCCGTTAGCCGTCGTTAGCCCTCCCACGACACATTTACAGACTGCCTCGGTTAGCTTTTTTTGTAGTCGACACAGGCTGCAGGATCCTTGCCATCGTAATCTCCGATTTCTTAAACTGTGATCGTGCTTGATATGGCTGGTGTTGACAACGACCAAGCTTCCGCTGCCGCTGCCGCCGCCGCCGCTGACGCGAAGCCCGCTTCGGATAGCTCTCAGGCAGCAGCTTCTGAGACCAAAGGTGCACCCACCACTTCACACCACATTCCGTTCCGACAGCGAGTTGATTGAGGATTTCAATATATGAAATCGAGGATGCGTTTCCTCGTGTCGCATTTTCTTCCCTAGGCGTAACTGCGAGGTCCTACTACAGCGGAACAGGATGACAGGAACGCATATTTTTCTAGCATTTTTTATGGCATTATTTCCTACGCGTTTGTTTCTCGTCATTTTTTCCTACCTCCGTGGAATGCATACACCTGGTTAGTTAGAGACGTGACTTTCCGCACAGTCTGACATGGATCGTGACGTAGTTTTCTTTATTTCATGGCGTATTCGCATAAGCTTCCTCTTGGATGAACTAGCACTAGATCCGCTTTGGGTTAGGGTTATATAGAGATTTTTTTTTCTTTTCGGGTGAGGCGTTGGAGTGAATTCGTCTTAATTTTTCGCCATCAGCGAGAACCAAGATAGAATCTTAAGGTCTTCGGATCGGCCGCGACGGATCAGAAAGCATTTGGCTAGGGTAAATCCAATTAGAACGGAGTTCGTGCGTCCTGTACTTCTGTCTTCGTTTTTCTCTTGATCTTCAAGGTTTAAGCCGGAATCAGAATGGGTTTTTGATTCAGTTAAAGCAGGTTGATATTTTATACTCCTCCAGCTACATTGACGGGAGGCATTAGAAACTTCTTTCAAGTCTCAACTGCGTTTTCACTGTAGAAGCACCCTCACCAGCAAAATATCCTTCCGTTCAGTTGTCAAGCATCTATCTGGCGTCTACTGTGAAGCACGGTTATGTTGCTAATTGTGTCTGCTTCACTGAACACATTGTGCTTCGCTGTTTCCCTTCAAGGCGTCTGCTTATTCCACCACATTGTGCCTCACCAACCCATTTTTTCTCAACCTTCCAATTTACACGAAGTGCAACTGCATCTGTTATGTTGTATCTGTTGAATATGTACCACTAAATCAGTGCCCTGTTCATGAGGTCTGGAGGCATCCTACTCGACAAGGCAAGCCTTTCAACCCCCCAACCCCTGCAATTCTCATCCCATCTCTTACCTCCCCTCCCCTCTCTCCACTCCCTCCTCCTGAATCGCACCCCTTCCCCCCCTTTTCCACCCCTTCTCCCTTTCCGCCTCCCCAACGTATCCTCCTTCCGCCCCATCAACTCCATTGGTTGCATGCGTCGCATTTATCGCGTATTGTCGCATGAATCGCGTGTTGTCGCACAGCAGCGCCGGCGTCCGTGAGCTTGAGGCCGGGGGGCGGGGGACTGGGCGGAGGGCTGTCGCTGCGCCCGGGAGGAGGCAAGCCGTCGGGGCTCTACGTGCGTCCGGGAGCAGATGGCTCGAGCGCGCAGGTTAGTCTTTACCTGACAGATTCACCCAGCCGTCTGTCTTTTGCGAGTAGGCTAGCCGTCTGGGTTGTTCGCTATGCCCGGGAGGAGGCACCCGTCGAGGCTCTACGTGCGTCCGGGAGCAGATGGCTCGAGCGCGCAGGTTAGTCTTTACCTGACAGATTCACCCAGCCGTCTGTCTTTTGCGAGTAGGCTAGCCGTCTGGGTTGTTCGCTATGCCCGGGAGGAGGCAAGCCGTCGGGGTTCTACGTCCGGCCGGAGCAAGCCATCTAGATTGCTCGCTCGCCGATGGGGCAAGCCGTCGGGTTTTAGTGAGGTGCATTTTGAGGCGCCTCAAAATGCACCGTTCTACGTCCGGCCGGAGCAAGCCATCTAGTTGTTCCCTCGCCGATGGGGCAAGCCGTCGGGTTTTAGTGAGGTGCATTTTGAGGCGCCTCAAAATGCACCGTTCTACGTCCGGCCGGAGCAAGCCATCTAGTTGTTCGCTCGCCGATAGGGGCAACCCGTCGGGGTTCTACGTGCGGCCGGAAGCAGATGGCTCGGGCGCGCAGGTTCGTTATCGCTGGATTCAACTAGTAGTTCGCTCGCCGAGGAGGCAAGCGGCGGGGTTCTACGTGCGGCCGGGGTTGAGCCCGCAGGTTCATTCTTATTTAGGTATCGCAGCGGGGCATAGATGCTGACAGGCGCATCTTTTCATGCGTCTCAGACTCGGACCCAGTGACACCTCACCATCATCTGCTGGTTAGAATATCGTTGCCGACTCGCCAAGGACAGGCGCACCCCTCGAGTGCTCTCTGTCTCAGCTTTCCGCTGTTTGATGCACCACAAACGTCGTCTCGGTCTCAGCTCACCATCTGCTGCGCTTAGGAAAGCGTTGCACATTCACCAAGGTGATGCGCACCCATATCGAGTGCTGCCTCTCCTTCTCTCAACTTCTGGCCTCTTCTGCTTCCGCCCCCCTTCCTTCCTACCCGTTTCCTCCCGTGTTGCGCACAGGATGACGGTCCGAAGGGTCCGCGAGTCAAGTATTCGAGGGACGAGCTGCTGGCGTACCGTGAGGTGAGATGGGGTACTGTGCGGTGAGATGGGGTACCGTGCGGTGTGATGGGTTACCGTGAGGTGAGGTGGGGTACTATGAGGTATGATGGCGTACCGTGAGGTGAGATGGGGTACTGTGCGGTGAGATGGGGTTCCGTGCGGTGTGATGGGTTACCGTGAGGTGAGGTGGGGTACTATGAGGTGTGATGGCGTACCGTGAGGTGAGATGGGGTACCGGTGTGGTGAGATGGGGTACGGTGAGGTGAGATGAGGTACCGTGAGGTGCGATGGGATACTATGAAGTGCGATGGCGTACCCGTGAGGTGAGATCGCGTAGCGTGAGGTGAAATGGGTTACTGAGGTGAGATGGCGTACCGTTAGGTGAGATGGTTTACTGAGGTGAGATGGCGTGCCGTCAGATGAGATGTGGTACCGCGAGGTGAGATGGGGTACCGCGAGGTGAGATGGCGTACCGCGAGGTGAGATTGGTTACTGAGGTGAGATGGTGTGCTGTCAGGTGAGATGTGGTACTGTGCCGTGAGATTGGGTACCTTGAGGTGAGATTGCGTACCTTGATGTGAGATGGGCAGTGCTAGTTGTAACGACTCCCAACTTTGGTACTCATTGTAACGACCCTTGAGGCCAAAAATCGTTACAACTACTGGAAATCAAGCCTGGTAGAACGGTTGGCATTTGTGCCGTTAAGTCAAGCAATCATGTTATAGCCTGTTGTGGAATCTAGTTCTCACGGGTATTTTCCTTTCATGATAGTCTACCTTTTACTAATATCTGCTTCTGACTGATATTTACCTCAACCCAACCCCCCTCCCCCCATACTCCCTGCCGTTATTGTAGAAGTGCGCGGACATTCCCCCCGAGATTCTGAACACGGGGGGCGACATCATTGCGTCGTCCGCGGGGGGGCGCTCCTCTTCCGCCGCGGCGGAGCCCGACTGGTCGTCGCGCAGGAGCGCGCCGCCGCCTTCGCAGCCGGCAGGCCAGCAGGTGAGCGCGCAATGCGCAGATGAGTTTCGAATTGACTTGAAAGTCTACTCAAAAGTCAACTTGATGGTCAACTTGAGAGTCTACTCAAAAGTCCAACTTGATGGTCAACTTGAAAGTCTACTCAAAAGTCAACTTGATGGTCAACTTGAAAGTCTACTCAAAAGTCAACTTGTTGGTCAACTTGAAAGTCTACTCAAAAGTCAACTTGCTGGTCAACTTGAAAGTGTACTCAATAGTCAACCCCATGTTTCCCTCTCCGCCGCTCCCTTACCCCTTTTTCACCCATTCTCCCCCTGCCACCGCATCCCTCTTTCCCGTTCCCCCCTTTTTTTCCTGCATTCCCGCTCTTTCCGTTCCCCCTTCAACCTGTGGGGGCGGAACGGGGGAGGGCAACCGAGATACATGTCACGCTCTCCCCCGTTCCCACTCCTTCCCATCCCTGAACTTTCCTCTCCCTTTTCCCTTTTCCCCGTTTTCCCCGGCCCCCCTTCCTGCACGCTCTTCCCGTTCCTCTTCCATCTATCCAGGCGCGCGCGCCCGAGGCCCCGGACAACCGCGACTGGCGCGCGCGGCAAGCGCTCCCCCCGCAGGAGGAGCGCGAGCGCGAGCGCGGGCGCGGCGGCGGAGGCGGACGGGGAGGCGGAGGCGGGCGGGGAGGCGGAGAGCGGGATTGGCAGAACCGCGGGGAGCAGCAGGGGGGACAGCAGCAGCAGCAGCAACATCAGGGACAGGCTGGGAACGTGAGTGACAGTCTTGGGAATCAGAGTGGCAGTGGTGGAATGGAAGTGGCAGCGGTGGGAATGGGTATGGCAGCGGTGGGAATGGGAGTGGCAGCGGTGGGAATGGGAGTGGCAGCGGTGGGAATGGGAGTGGCAGCGGTGGGAATGGGAGTGGCAGTGGTGGGAATGGGAGTGGCAGTGGTGGGAATGGGAGTGGCAGTGGTGGGAATGGGAGTGGCAGTGGTGGGAATGGGAGTAGCAGTGGTGGGAATGGGAGTGGTACCTCCTTTCGCCCCCCTTTCTTCTTTCCACCGTCTCCTCTCTCTCGCGCTCTCTCCTGCTCGTTTCCCCCTCTCCTTCTGCTTCGCTTCCTCCCCCCATTCCCTCTTAACCCCCTCTCTCCCTCGCTCCCGCCCCCCTTCTTGCCCCATTCCCGCCCCCCTTCCCTCCGCCCTTTCCTCCATGGATATTCCCTTCTCTTCCCGTTCAGGCGGACGGCCCGGCGGTGCCGATAGTGAAGGCGGCCGGTTGAGCACGACTCACATGGCTGCACCTTGTCCCCCCTCTCCTCCCCTCCCCTCCCCCTCGTCTCCCCCTCCTCTATCCGGACACGTCCTGGCGGACGGCCCGGCGGTGCTATAGTGAAGGCGGCCAATCCGTGGATGCATGAGTTAATGTGCCACTCTTCTCACCCCCTCTCCCCCCCCCCCCCCACCCCCCCCCTCTCTTTTGGTCCAGGCGGACGGCCCTGCGGTCCCGATAGTGAAGGCGGCCAATCCGTGGATGCCACGTCGCGGCGCCGTGGACGAGAAGGAGAAGGTTCTGCGAACTGTCAAGGGGTGAGGCGCGGGGGAAAGTACGGGGCAAGGCCTGGGGGAAATCATGGGGGGAGGTATGGGGGAAGGCATGGGAGGAATCATAAGGGGAGGTATGAGGGAAGACATCGGAGGATCATGGGGGGGAGGTATAGGGAAAGGTACGGGAGGAATTATGGGGGGAGGTATGAGGGAAGGCATGGGGGGATCATGGGGCGAGGCATAGGGAAAGGTATGGGATGGAGAGGCGGAAGCGAAGCTGAGGCAAATGGGAAATGAACTCGAAAGGGAGCCGTGGGCGAGAAGGAAAAAGCTGTCATCACCTCCTCCTGCGTCTGCAGGAGGTGATCTCGCTCATCTTCGACAAGGCTGTGGACGAACCCACCTTCACACCCATGCCCTGCCCCATGCCTGACCCGTGCCTGTCCCGTGCCTCTGTGCCCTGTCCCCCGCTCTTGCCCCCCACACCCCTACCCCTCCCCCAGTATCCTGAACAAGCTCACGCCTGAGAAATTCGACGTGCTGCTGCAGCAGATGCTGGAGTCGGGCATCACCTCCGCGGAGCGACTGCAGGAGGTGATCTCGCTCATCTTTGACAAGGCAGTGGACGAGCCCACGTTCTGCCCCATGTACGCGGAGCTCTGCGACAAGCTCTCCCACGCGCTGCCGCAGTTCCCGGGGCCGGAAGGGTCGGATAAGCCGGTTACTTTCAGGCGGATTCTGCTCAACACGTGCCAGGAGGAGTTCGAGCAGGCGCTGAAGCTGCGGCAGGAGCTCAAGGGATTGACCAAGGCTGAGCAGGTGAGGGGTCTGGTGTGGGTGGGACGCGTGGGAAGGGTGGGAAGAGTGGGAAGAGTGGGAAGGGTGGGAAGAGAGGGAGGGGAGTTGGCAAAGCAGTGGACGAGCCCACGTTCTGACCCATGTACGCCGAGCTCTGCGACAAGCTCTCCCACGCGCTGCCGCAGTTTCCCGGGCCCGAAGGGTTCGACAAGCCGGTTACTTTCCGGAGAATTTTGTTGAATACCTGCCAGGGGGAGTTTGAGCAGGCGCTGAAGCTGCGGCAGGAACTGAAGGGGCTCACCACGGCGGAGCAGATGAGGGTCTGGCAGGGTTGAAGGGGTTTGGGTTAGGCATGGGGAGTGAGATGGCAGGGTGGGAGGGAGGGAAGGGTATGGGTTTCATTCGGATTCTGCTCAACACGTGCCAGGAGGAGTTTGAGCAGGCGCTGAAGCTGCGGCAGGAGTTGAAGGGATTGACCAAGGCGGAGCAGGTGAGAATGTTGTGGTGTTAAAATGTTTTGGGTTAGGCAGGGGAGGGTGGGAGGGGAGGGGATGACGTTTAGGAGGATTCTGCTCAACACGTGCCAGGAGGAGTTTGAGCAGGCGCTGAAGCTGCGGCAGGAACTGAAGGGACTGACCAAGGCTGAGCAGGTGAGGGTGGGGTGGGGGAGTGAAGGGCTTCGGGTCTGTCTGGCAGGGGGGGACGGGTTTCGGGTTGTTGCTGCTTTGTTGCGTGTTTGTGTGTGGAAAGCAGAAGAGATTGAGGACGTGTAGTGGCAGCGGCGGGTGAAGGGACGCAGGGGAACACTGAGAGATGCCTCTTGTCGCCCCACGATGCCTCTTGTCTCCCCACGATGCCCCTTGTCTCCCCACGATGCCCCTTGTCTCCCCACGATGCCTCTTGTCTCCCCACGATGCCTCTTGTCTCCCCACGATGCCCCTTGTCGCCCCTTGCCCTCCCCACCCATGCCCCTTGTCGCCCCTTGCCCTCCGCCCCCGCCCATGCCTCTTTTCTTCCCTGTGGCAGGCCGAGGAGAGGGAGGACGTGCAGCGGCGGGTGAAGGCTCGCACGCAGGGGAACATCCGGCTGATCGGAGAGCTGTACAAGCAGAAGATGATTCCCGAGAAGATCGTTCATGCGTGCGCCCAGGTACTGTGTGGGGCAGGTGGCATCTGAGGCAGGTAGCATCTGAGGCAGGTGGCATCTGAGGCAGGTAGCATCAAGTTGATCGGAGAGCTGTACAAGCAGAAGATGATTCCTGAGAAGATCGTTCATGCGTGCGCCCAGGTACTGTGTGGGGCAGGTGGCATCTGAGGCAGGTAGCATCTGAGGCAGGTAGCATCTGAGGCAGGTAGCATCTGAGGCAGGTAGCATCTGAGGCAGGTAGCATCTGAGGCAGGTGGCATCTGAGGCAGGTAGCATCTGAGGCAGGTAGCATCTGAGGCAGGTAGCATCTGAGGCAGGTAGCATCTGAGGCAGGTGGCATCTGAGGCAGGTAGCATCTGAGGCAGGTGGCATCTGAGGCAGGTAGCATCTGAGGCAGGTGGCATCTGAGACAGGTAGCATCTGAGTCAGGTAGCATCTGAGGCAGGTAGCATCTGAGGCAGGTGGCATCTGAGGCAGGTAGCATCTGAGGCAGGTGGCATCTGAGGCAGGTAGCATCAGGCTGATCGGAGAGCTGTACACGCAGAAGATGATTCCTGAGAAGATCGTTCACGCGTGCGCTCAGGTGAGATAGAAGTGGTTAGGAGAGGTGCGAGGAGAGCTGGTTAACAGGACACCGAGACAGGTTGGGAGTGGCAGAGAGCAGGGGCTGTAGGGAGTTGGTTGAGCAGAGAGCAGAGGTCATAAGGAGATGAACATGGCTGGAGAATTCGACGAGCAGAAGATGATTCCCAGGGCCATTCCTCCCTTGCCCCTGCTCCTCTCCTCCACTTTCTTCCCCCTCAACTCTCAGGAGCTGCAAGGAGACAGCAAGACGGAGCCTCCAGAGGAGAATATCGAGGCGCTCTGCCAGCTGTTCTCCCTTCTCATTCTCCCATTCCTTCCCCATTGTTCTTTCCTAACCTTTCCCTCCCAGGAGCTCCAAGGAGACAGCAAGACGGAGCCCCCAGATGAGAACATCGAGGCACTCTGCCAGCTGATCTCCCTTCTCATTCTCCCATTCCTTCCCCATTGTTCTTTCCTAACCTTCCCCCCCTCCTTTCCCTCCCAGGAGCTCCAAGGAGACAGCAAGACGGGGCCCCCAGAAGGGAACATTGAGGCGCTCTGCCAGCTGCTACCCCTTCCCATTCTTTCCCCAATATTCCCTACCTTTTCCACCCTTTCCCCACCCCGTTCTCCCTCCGCAACCCCCCCATCCCAGGAGCTGCAAGGAGACAGCAAGACGGAGCCTCCAGAAGAGAACATTGAGGCTATGTGCCAGCCACTGCTCCCTTTCCCCATTATTTCCCTCTCTTTTCCCATCTCCTCTCCCTCCGCAACCCCCCCATCCCAGGAACTGCAAGGAGACAGCAAGACGGAGCCTCCAGAGGAGAACATTGAGGCGCTCTGCCAGCTGCTGTCCACGGCAGGGAGAGGCATGGAGGAGAAACCCGCCGGCAAGGCCAACCCGGTCCTCCTCAACGCCTACTTTGACCGCCTTAAAGCCCTCTCGAACTCCCCCACGCTGCCCTCTCGCATCCGCTTCATGTGCCGCGATCTGGTCGACCTGCGGTCCAATAAGTGGGTGCCACGTAGGAAGGAGCTCACTGCTAAGAAGCTGGATCAGATTCATGCCGAAGCTGAGGCCACGCTCGGGCTGAGGAAGGGCGCTGCGTCGCTCAGGGTCGGCGCAGCCTCGGGAGCCATGCCTGGAGGTCCGGGGATGATGTTCCCTCCCGGGCCTGGCTGGCCCGGAGGTCCGGGGATGCCGGGCATGCCCGGAGGCTTGGTGGGAGGTATGGTGCCTCCTGTGGATCTGGATGGGTGGGAGACGGTTTCGATTGGTCGGCGGGCGAAGAAGGATACTGCCGGAGCTGCCGGGCAGGCTCGGCAGGGAGCTGCAGCTGCAGGTGCGGTACCGATCATGGGGCCAGGCATGGGGCTCAAAATGGGCCCAGGTATGGGTCCGGGCATGGGAGGTTCGTCGGCATTCATTGGCAAGCCGAGCGCTCTGATTGGTGCCAAGCCTGCTCCTGTCAGACCAGCCGAACCTGCGGCTCCCAAGCCTGCTGCCGCTCCTGCCGCCGCCCCTGCCGCTGCTAGCAACGGCCCAGCCGCAGCAGCAAAGCCGGTAGCAGCGGCGGCAGTGTCAGGCACGTGGGATGATGTGGCAAAGAGGAAGTCTGAATCTCTTCTCAAGGAGTTTTTCGCCGTTCTGGATCTTAAGGAGGCTCAGCTGTGTATGGAGGAGCTTGGCTCGCAGAAATCCCACGAGGTTTCGTCCCGGTTCGTTGAATTTGCCGCGAATTTCGCCCTGGAGGGCGGCAAGGAGAAGGAGTGCGTGGAGGTGGGGCGGCTGCTCTCCCACCTGCACTCCAAGGGCGCGTTCGCACAGAGCGACAAGGGCGAGAGCGCGCTGACAGCTGGCATGCTCTCATTGGCCGAGCAGCTCGATGACCTGGCTCTGGACGTGCCGCAGGCGCCGAGATTCCTGGGCGAGTGGCTGGGCGGCTTTGTGGCAGCCGGGGCGGCGGATTTCGGCTTACTCAAGTCTGTGTGTGAGATGTCGTATGATGGCGGGAGGAGGCGGGCGGTGGTGGTGGCTGCGGTTAAGGCGATTGAGGGGAGCGAGGCGGGGAAAGGGGAGGGGGTGGTGGAGGTGTTGAGGAAAGCAGGGGCAAAGGAGCTTAGTAAGGTTGTGACAGAGGAGGGGAAGGATGAGGCGGAGGCAAAGAGGCAGCTTGAAGAGGACTTGAAGAAGGCTGGGCTTGCTTTGGAGGTGCTGACATTGTGAGGGTGTGAGAGGCTTTAAGTCAAGAATGATGAGCCAAGAAACCAGTGAAAAAGAGGGGGCAGGATTCAGGAGAGTCACAGAGGTGGATTGAAGCGGATTTGAAGAAGGCTGGGTTGGGCTTGGAGGTGTTGAGTGGTTTTGCGGTGGAGAGGGGAGTGGTGAAGAGTGGTAAAGGTGAAGAGTGGTGAAGAATGAAACAGGACTCGAAGGTGGGGAAGGAGGAAGAAGGGAGAAGGGTTGAGGATTTAAAGGCATGGATGGCCTTGGAAATGTGGTGATGTGGTATTGTGAGGAAGTGGGAAATGTGGTGTGGGATGGTTTTATGAGCAGGATGGAATGGAATATTATAGTGCGGGGGCAACGGAATTGGAGGAGGGGAGCGACAGCTGTTTATGGGAGCAAGGGGACTGGGCATTGGGTGGTTCTACTGTTCGCGTTTTTGTGCTTTGAGTAGGTAGATACTATTTCAATGGGCACAGATATGTTGAAATGGTACGGTAACAGAATGCAACACATTTTGGATAAACTGCTGGCGAAACATTATAACAACAAATCCTGGTGACTATGCAAGGTACTGCTGGGCTGAGGAGTCCCAGGTTATGAACGAAGCAGCCGGAGCAGCAGCAGCTGGAACAGCCCCTTCCCAGACACACAATGCTGAAGCAGATCTTGAAGGCATTGTCCCGTGAGAAAGATCCGCTTCAAGAGACGATGCTGCCAGCTAGGATAGATTGCGAGTTGCATTCACAGCACACACAAATACGGTACCTTCACCACCCCACCAGCCCACCAGCCCCTCTGCCCCCCTTCACAAATATGGAAGAGGCTTCACCACCCCACCAGCCCCTCTGCCCTAACGATGTCACCCGTCCCTCATGTTGGGCTGAGTGCCCCTTAGGATCTTTGGTAGGGTTAATCTCTGGGTAGAGTGATGTAGTAGCGGAAGCGTTAACAAAGAGATTCTGAACCACCTTGCACTAGTATGTGAGGGCAAAGTAAGTTGATTAAAACAAGCAAGTACAAAGGTTTTTATAAGAGTACAAAGAATACGAAGAGATATAATTAAACTGTTTTGCTGTTGTGGTTCGATACAGTGCGACTCGGGCAACTGCTCAATGTCGAGTCAGTTGTGTGTCCTTGCTGTCGCGCTGTACTTGTCAGGTCAAAGGTCGCTGACCTTTGACTTTCGAGTAACCTCCAGCGGTTACTTCAACCTCCGAGGGTTGACTCGCCGGTGCTCCGGTATGCTTCGCTTCGCTTGTGCCTTAGTGTTTCGACACGACAGAGGCGCTTAGGACCAATTGTTTCCAACACTCCCCTTCGCTTCTGGAGTGTCGCTGACGTGGCTCTGTCCAGTCAGCAGCATGCAATATTCGAATTTCTGCTTTCCGAGCTTCTTGGTCAGGTAGTCAGCTGCCATTTCGGACGTGGGGCAGTATGACAGCTCGAGCCTTCCCTTCTCGATCTCGTCCTTCACGAAGAAGTATCGCAGGGCGATGTGTTTCGTCCTGTTCGCAAAACCGTTCTTGTTGGCGATGCGAATTGCCGACTGGTTGTCGCAGAACAGGGTAAAGTTGGGTAACTCGGTTAACTTCGCTTCTTCCAGCAGCTCACGAAGATAGAGTCCTTCCTTGGTGGCAGAGCAGAGTGCAATATATTCTGCTTCAGCTCACGAGAGAGCAATTAGTTCCTGCTTGCTCGATTGCCAGGAGATAGGCCCGATAGGCTCGAAGCGATAGATGTAGCCGGTGCGTGATCTTCTGTTGTCGGAGTCGCCCGCGTGATCTGCGTCGACGTACCCGTAATCTCCCGGACAAAACACCCCCCCATGATAGTACACCCCCGGGTAGCTTGTGCGGGGTGGGTGCTATGGGCGACCTCGTTTCTACTATACCCCCCTTTTTGGATGATTTTCTATAACACCCCCCTTTTCTTACGGATTCCTATTATAGTTGTTATCGAGTCTGATTCCTTACAGGGGAGTATCGCGAGAATTGCTTCCTAAATGAAATTTCGCGCGTACTTGCACTTAGAATCCGCCAACATTTCCCCCTCCCACAATCTCACTGTCGCCACCCTGGCGAATCTTTCGCTGCTAGTGGACATTTCCCCCATCCCACATTCTAGGAAGTTGCCACGCTGGCGAATCTTCCGCTGCAAGTGGCCCGAAAGGTGAAACTCACATTCTTGCCAAAACTCACATTCTCGCCTCAAACTGTGATGTTAAAACGACCATTGAAACACCCAAACTGTCTAATTTGAGAATCCTCTTGCATTAAAATATACCATATATAACCACCCGGGTATTATATAGGATTTTCCGTTGAGAGGACCCCCCCCCTTTTTTCCCTGTGGTTATCATAATACCCCCGGGTGTTATGTCCGGGAGAATACGGTAACCAATTAGCTTAGGTGGCGTGGTCGCGTTCTTGTGATATGTTAAGCCGATCGTTGGCGTACTAACGAGATAGTGTAGAGCACGGTCGAGTTCGGCCATGTGTTTTGCTTCAGGCCTCTTGAGATGAGTGGCGAGCTGGCTTGCGGAGTATGAGAGGTCGGGGCGGCAGGTAACAGCTGCGAAGAGAAGGCATCCTAGCTTTCTCTGGTAGTCGCGTATCCCGGCGGATTTGAGTAGAGTAGATCCTTCCTCGTGGTTTCCTGTCGCGTAGCGGTAGGGCGTAGAGATGGTGGTAGGCGTGAGAGCGAAGCGTTTGGCGATGGTGTCAGCGTACTTAGCGGCGTTGAGGTAGATCGCGTCTTCTTCCTCTCGAATGTTCAAGCAGAGGTACTATGTGACGGTAGAGGAGACCGTGAGTGTGAGGTCCCTCTGTAACTCCCCTTCGAACCAGGTGGTGATGTCGTCAGTGGAGCCGATGTAAAGTAGGTCGTCTACGTAGACGATCAGCAGGATGTAGTTGGTACCCTTCGTGAGTCGGTACATTCCTTGGTCGTGAGGTAGTTGGCGGAATCCGATGCGAATGAGGCGAGCGTGTAGGTATTGTTGCCACAGCCGCGGGGCTTGTTTGATTCCGTAGAGCGATTTCAGTAGCTGGCAAACCTGGTTGGGCTCCCCGTTGGTACCGTGTGGGAGCTCGACGAAGATTTCTGCGTCGACGGGTGCGTAGAGGAATGCGTTAGTGACGTCGATTTGCCGCAGCTTCTTCTTCTTCATGGCGGCGATTGCGAGGAGGATTCGAAGGGAGGTGTGTCGGCTAACCGGGGCGAATGTCTCGGTGAAGTCTCGTCCGTGCTCCTGATCGAATCCACGCACAACCCAGCGTGCTTTGAACTTCTCAATTGTGCCATCTGCTTTTGTTTAAACGCGGAAGACCCATTTCCCGGTGAGAATGGTCTTGTTCCTTGCCACGTTGATGGGGACAACTTTCCAGGTGTTCCGTTCCTCCAGCGCCTTTAACTCTCTGTCCATGGCTTCACGCCATTTTTCCCTGTGTTCCCCCCCCCAGAGCCTGCTGAACCGTCGCAGGCTCCTTAGGAAGGGTGTTGCCGTGGACTGCGATGACGAGGCCAAGTATCTGCAGTCCAGTCTGTGAGTAGCGGGGAAGAGTTGCATCCTCGGGATAAGCTGCTTCATCTCCCGCTTCTGGATCAGGTATGAAATTCGGTCCTACTCGTTCTGCTTCGTTGGTGTTGACTGTCGCAGGTGTTACGTAACCGTTGTCGGCGAAGTAGTAGAAGGTTTCGGCGTTGACACTTTCGCGAGGGTTGTCGTCGTCCATGGAAACGTCGACAGAGCAGAACGAGAGAGGTCCGGCTTCTTCTGACGCGTTGTCCACATTCTGCTCGTCCCAGTCAGCTTCGTCTTCTGCGGAGGCGAAGGCTCGATCGCCACGAAAACCACCTGTGGGATCTTGGTCCTCTTGCAGGTTGGCAAGGTATGTCTGGAGCGTGAGTCGTTCGTAGAAAATGACGTCACGTGCTGCTACTGTTTCCTTGGAGTGGACGTCGAAGATTTTCCACGCGTTGTAATTCTTTTCGATGCCGAGGTGTAGTCCCCACTGTGCGCGTTGTGAAAATCGGCCCGCTCGTGCTGCTGGGGGTCGATACTGTACCATGCATCCAAACACTCGTAACATTTTTGTGCTGCCCTGTTTCCCTGTCCACAGCAGATGCGGTGATGCGTTGTTCGGAAGCGATGAAGACGACAGCAAGTTGTGCAGCATGACAGCGTGGTCCATTGCTGCAGGCCACTGGTGGTTGGGTAGCCGCATGCCACGTAACAGTTTGCGCATGCTGTTCTGCGGAGTCCTGTTTATTCTTTCTGCTACACCTTGTTGCTGATAGGCGTAGGGAAGAGAGAGGAGCTGCTTGATCCCCCTTTCCGCCAGGTACTGCTTGAATCGCTGAGAGGTGTATTCTCCTCCTCCGTCTGACTGGAAGCTTTTCAGCTTTACGCCCGACTCTCTCTCTGCTACTGGTAGCCAAGCAGCGAATGCTTTGAGGACCATGTCGCGGCTGGGTAGGTTTAGGTGCCAGGCTTAATGGGTGGCGGCGTCGATGAAGGTGATTGTGTAGTTGTAGATTACTTGTCCTGGTTCCCGATTGTACAGGATGTCGCTATACACCTTTTCGAGTGGTGCGTACGCGGGTGCGCTCGGGTTGTGACGAGGAGCGAACGGACGATGTGGTAAGTCGGCTTCGGGGCAGGTAAGGCATGTTCCTCGTGCCCGTTAGAGTTCTCTGCCGTCGAGTAGTAGTAACGAGTCCTTGTCAAGGACTCCTGCTCTTATTGTGTTGTTTAACACAGTCTTGCTTGGGTGTCCCATCCTTGCGTGCCAGGTGCTTTCGTCGGCGCGATGTCCGGGTGATCGTCGGTACATATCGGAGTTGGAATAGAAGCTGGTAGTGAAGTTTGCGCTACGATGAACTTCTCGTGGTGCTGGGTGGAGCTGTTGTCCTGGTGTTGGTGGTGTTTCGTCAACGAGGACTGGTGTCGTTGTTGCTGCTACTGTTGATGACGTCTCTGCTGCTGTCGATGATGT